TTTAGTGGTCATTGATGGGCATTACCTAGATGAGTTTTTTCATTAGGAGTTGCAAAATAGTGATTTTTAATTTTACTGGTCTTCATATAAAGAACAACTTTTCCTAATCCATTATTTGGTTATTCTCAAATATAGTCCGTGCACGAAGACAGGATAAATTCTTGATTCTTAGATATTTCCATCTGCAGATCTGGAATTAGCCATTTGTTTAGAGGATCTTAGTTATTTTTTAGGGGTAAATGGCATTGAGAGACCAGAACTTGAACTCGAGAGGTGCTGGATTGGATTTTTTTCCTTGTATGCATTTCAGGGGATAGAGCTCAGAAGAAAATAAATTTTCTAAGAGGAAGTACATTGTGAGTTAGTGTTGACAATTCCTATAAGAATTTAGGATTATAGAGTATTTACTTAACTTTTTTAATTTTATGTTTATGTACCTTTTTCTTAATGCTGAAAGTTTTGGTTCCAGAATGGAGATATTAACCATCATTACTAACACTATGATTACTAAAAACAGTTGAAGATATATATATATATATATATATATATATATATATTTATATATTTCCCTTTTGATATATTCCAGTAGGGAATGTACAGTCAAATTGCTGTGTGATAAAGTTACTTAAAATAATTCTTCTCTTTGTAGTTAAAATGCCAACTCAATATTACACTTAGGTTTGTTCATTTGCTTTTGCTCTTATTTTTAGAAATTGCACTTCTAATTTTTTAAAGAACTATATGAAACTTGTACATGGTTCTGAAGTTGAGTACATAAAACAAGGTAAAATCATAGAAATCTAGCTCCAATTCTTGTATCTTCTACTCTTCTTATAGTCATTTTTAAAAAGGTTTTGGTTTTTCTGCCACTTAAATCTATATGTAAGCATATTTATATTCATATACCCCTCTTTTTCGGTTAGAAATAGGATTCTATACACACCATTTTATGCAATACTTTTTTCACTTAGCAACACATCTTGGGAATTACTCTGGCGAATATACAGAGATAGGCTTCATTCCATTTTACAGCTTCGTGATAGGTCATGATATGGAGGTGCCCTAGTTTAGCCAACTGGTCTTCTGATAAAGGACGTTTGAGTGTTTTCAGGCTTTTGATGTTTAAAATGACACTGCATTGAGTAGCCGAATGAGTGTGTGTTGTATTGTGTTTTGTTTATTTTTCCCAGTGTAAAAATCCTGGAAGTGGTAAGGTTGGGCCAGAGGATAAGTAATTGATCTCCCTTCATATTGCCACATTCCCTTCCATAGGTGTTTTGCTATTTTGCATTCCTCTAATAAGGTACAGAATGTTATTTCCTCATAGCTATAAACTTTTAGGTTTTTGCTAATTTGATAGATGTCTATCTCAGCATATCCCTTGTTATAAATGTGGTTGAGCATCTTTCCATTTGTTAAGAACCATTTGAGTATCTTTTTCTATGGACATTTCATATTTCTTACCCATTTTTCCATAGAATTGTTGGTCACTGTCTTCTCTACTTTTAGAATCTTTACATATTAGGAATATTAACCTTTATTTTTTTCTAGTTTATCATTTTTCTTTTTACTTTGCCAGTTTTTTACCATACAAAAATGTGTTTATTCGGTGTGGTCAAATTGATTTGTTTTCTTCCATGATGTTTATAACTTATATTTTAAAAGACTCCTCTTGGCTACTGTGTTGGGAAGAGACTGGCAGGAGTGGGCCTAGACGAGGCAAGGGCAGAAGCTTTGAAGGTAGTGGTAATAATCCAGCATTGTTAGCTTTGGAGATGGCTCTGGGTATATTCTGAAATTTCTGTTGATGGATAGGTTGTTAGATGTGAGAGAAAGAAAAGAATGGAGATATTTTTGGCCTAACACAATTGAGTTGCCATTAACTGAGAAGAAGCCTGTGGGAAGGGCAGATTTGGGGGAAGATCTAGAGTTCAGTTATGGACATAGAAAGTTTGAAACACTTATTGGATATCCAAGTGGAGGTGTCATATGGGAAGCTGAATAAGTGAGTCTGTAATTTCAGGGAATGTTTAGGTCTAGGAATAATCATTTGGGAGTTATTAACATGTAGATGATATTTATCAAGGCTTTCCCTTTTTATTTCTTTAAAAAAATTGTTTTAATGTCGAAGAGAGACAAAGCACAAGTGGGGAAGTGGCAAAGAGAGAGGGAGACACAGAATCTGATGCAGGCTCCAGGCTCTAACCGACAGCAGAGAGTTTGACCCAGTTCTCGAACTCACAAACTGTGATACCATGACCTGAGCTGAAGTCGGATACTTAACCAACTGAGCCACCCAGGCGCCCCTCTTGTTTTACTAAAAAAAAAAAAAAAAAAAAAAAAAAATTTTTAAATTTATTTCTGAGAGAGAGACAGCATGAGCAGGGGAGGATCAGAGAGAGGGAGACACAGAGTCTGAAGTAGGCTCCAGGCTCTGAGCTAGCTGTCAGCACAGAGCCCGACACGGGGCTCGAACCCACAAACCGTGAGATCATGACCTGAGCCGAAGTCGAATGCTCAACCAACTGAGCCACCTAGGTGCTCCCTGTTTTATTTCTTTATTGAGGTATGCTTCTCTATACTTAAATGTGCAGATATTAAGTGTATAGTTCAGTGACTTGTGACAAGCATATAGACCTGTATAACTAGCATCCCAGTCAAGTGTAGAGCATTTGTGTCCTCCAGAAAGTTCCCTTGTGCCTCTTTCTAGTTGGGCTACTAGAAAGACTATTGTAGCTATTGTTCTGATTTATATTACCACAGTCTAGTTTCTTGTTTTTAATATTTAAAACAGAAGGCTGGCTGAGATCACCTAGGGTGTTAATGTAGATAGAGAAATAAAAGGTCAATAGTATGACTTGGGAATGCCAGAGATCTGAGGGGAATATGACGAATTGGCAAGGAAACTAGGAAAGAGTAACCTGGAAGATAGGATGAGAGCCAGATAAAATGGAGTCCTGGAAACCAAGTGAAAAAACTGGTTCAAAAAGGACTGAGTGATGAACTCTTTCAAATGCTGTCATAAAGTCTTGAAAGATGAGGATTCAAAATTGACCAGTAGATTTAGCATTAAGGGGATCATTGGTGACCTTGCAAACTGCTTTCAAGGAGTGTGGGGAGCCCAAGTGCTTGATTGGAGTGGGTTTGAGGGAAAGCGAGAAGAGAAACCAGACAGCAAGAACATAGCATTTTGAGGAGCATAAAAGTGGTATAGTAACTGGGAGTACAGGATCAAAGGAGGAGGGTTTTTTTGTTTTTTGTTTTTTGAACAAGCAGTATTTCAGTATCTTTGTGTGCTGATGAGATCGATCCAGTAGGAGGAAAAACTGAAAATTGGAGAAAATTGTTTGAGTGGTGCCCTTGAGTCATCAAGAAGTCAGCCCCTGAGTGCACAGAGGAGGAGCTGGCTTGAGGTGGGGGCCTAGGCAGTTCATCCACTGTAATAAATAGCAGAGAAGGCAGGCACAGGTGTAGGTGAGAACATGCCGAAGTTCTCTTTTGGTTGTTTCTCTTTCTCCATGATGAAGGAAGGTAGGAGGAGAGGGAGAAGGAAAATATCAGAAGTTGAGGAGAGAAGTCTAAGTGTGAATTAGAATTTGTCTGAGAATGGAAGAGTTAATATATCATTGCTTCACATCCTTACTGATAGTAGTTGTGTAATTTTGATAAGTAACTTACGTTTGCTATACTCCATTTGTTCATGGGGCTAGTTGTAACCAGCTCTTAAGACTGCTGTGAGGACAGGTTGAGAAAACACTTTGCATTGCACCCAGCCCATAGTAGGTATTTAATAAAGGGTTATTTCTTTCCAAAGTGTAGCAATAAAATTATTTTAGATCCTGTCTCCGTCTCCCTGTCTTTCTTTCTCTCTCTCAAAAATAAATACATATTTTTTTAAATATTAAAAAAAATAAGTCAGACCCTTAACAGTTGAGCCTCCCAGAGTGCCCCTCATTGCAGATTTTAAGATTGAAGATTGATTTATTTTTAAATTTAGGTATGGAAATTTTCTAATACAGAATGGAAAGTATAATAAACCTTCATGTACTTACATAGCTACCACTTTAAATGATATTCAGAATAATATGGACACTTAAATGATCTGTGAGAATATATGGAACTAACTTGTCTTGATTCACTAATGAGTAAGAGCTAAAGATTCTGATTTAATAATAATTTAATCTGAGTACCTTCAATCATTATTTTATTCATTGATTCATGCAACAAAATTTATTGAGGGTCAACTTTGTTCATTAGTCTAATGGCTAAGAGCCTTGCCTGAGTGCAGATTTTAGCTCTGCTACTTCCTAGCTGTGTTGGCCTAAGGCTAATCAGAGTATTCTAAGCGTCAGTTTCCACACTGACAAAATTAAGATAATGCCAGTATCCACTTCATAGGCTTGTTAGGAGGAGTAATTGAGATACATTGGCTTGCTCAGTAAATGTTAACTGCTGTTACTATAAAAATTCTTTTTTCTTTTCCTCCTCCTCATTTTTGTCTTCTAGATTTTGTGCTAGGTGTCATTGGAGAGTAGGAGAGGATTAAGATGTAGACCTTCACCCTAAAGAACTGGAATTCCAAAATCCCACAGTATTAGAGTCAGGAGAGATTTTCAAGATTTTCCAGTTCAGCGAGCCCAGAAAGCTTTAGTGAACTGTCTGTCACGTATCTCTTAGTGGCAAAGCCAGGCCAAAGCTCAGGTCCTTTAAGCTGTGAATGCTCTTCTTACAGAATGGCTGCTCTGTTGGTTTGACTCACTCCCCACTCCTTAAACCCTAGCCCTTCTAAATTGACAGTCCTGACCTGACTGTTTTTCAGGCCTCTGCCTTTCGAGTGTGCAAGTATCGAAGTATATGTGAGGCTTTTTGCACACATCAGACCTGTATATGCCCCAGACACTCCCTCTTTAAGATTCCAAGGAAGACTTGCTGGGGAAGGTAGACAGGCTGTCTTCTGTGTGTAATCACAAAGATGTTTTTATCTTCCTCTTCTATCACAGCCCAGGAGTTAAAGTCACTTTTTGAAAAAAAGTCCCTCAAAGAGAAACCTCCAAGTTCTGGAAAGCAGTCAATATTATCTGTACGACTGGAGCAGTGCCCTCTGCAGCTGAATAACCCCTTTAATGAGTATTCCAAATTTGATGGCAAGGTAAGTAAAAATAAAACTTTGTCCCCTTAAATAAAACCTCAATTCAGTGGAATTGTTTTTGTTGGTATTATTAAATTTAGGTTTCAAAAATCACTCTAAGTAATTATAGAATGTCACTCACATTTTCTAAGACTGAGGATGTGAAAAGGTCTGAATTTGGGCTTCACATTGTTTCCACAGCAATATGTTTGGGGGATTAAAACAAAAATAGTCTTGAGATATTTGTATGTGTATTTTTTTTTCCTGTTTTCAGAGAGTATACTTGAGGGTTTGGGTTACTTGGGTTGTGAGTCATCAAGGCCTAATTGTGCTGGGAACGCTTTGAAAGTGGTTCTGGGAGGCCATTTGCATTTTTTTGGTCTGACTCTTCATTGTAACTGCAGAAATTGTTGAGCTTTGAGCTTCATTCCAGAATTCTAGGCCTTTGTTTGCATGTCTGTATTTCATTGTAGGGAATCTTGTTTGACACTCACTATGCAGGGTGACTTTAGTTTTTTGTTTCTTCTAACAATTTGTAGTTGTAAAATTAAAGCATGCCTATTTACCTTTTAGAAAAATGGCCACTGTTGTAGGTCGAGTACAGTTCCATGTGCAGCACCCTCTGCCCCCATAATCCCTGCCATTCTGTGTCACTGCACTGAGCTGAGCTGGGCTTCTTTCAGGCGACAGTAGCAGTTGATTTTTATATTTATTGCCGTTATATTTGCTGTCTGGCAGTGGTGTGGGGGTGCTGAGTGATCACTTATTGCCTGGAGGGGTTGTGTACAGTTTGTCTTATTTTAACACCATTGCAATTAATAAGCATACAGCTCTTTGCTTATGTTTGCATTTTTCATCTTCAATTTCTGGTTAGGTGCTGGTGTGGTCAGTTGTCATCTTTGAGCAAGGAGATGTATTCTCTCAAAACACTTTCTACTCAATCGGTTCAGCATGTTTCCATAGTTTTAAAAGTAAGCATATATGGCCATGGGCAAGTGAGGTTATTGATGTTGGTGGGAAAGGAGAGCAAGAACTAGAAGTAAAATGCGTAAGTTACATAAAGATACTAATATGCTCAGGAGTTGCCTTCAAAAAACCTCTGAAACAACCTCCAGTAAATTAGAGATTATATTGATGTAAAGCTTCTCTTTAGCCTGCTCCTGCCACGGCTCCTGTTTCTTCTTGTGGACTGTAGCAAGGAGAAAGGAAGGGTCCCCCTAGGGGACAGGAATGTCAGCCTCTGGAAAACAGAATTGGACTGTAGAGGATTTTTTTTTTTTAAACTACCGTTGATTCATTTAGATATGTGAGAAGTTATTATTAGGAATTAGGTTATATGGCTGGAATTTATTTGCTTCCTTTGCCTGATCCCATCTCATTGTTTGAGGGCATAATTGCTGGAATAATTACTATGTAATAATACTTTATGCCAACAAAATAGCACAGATCTTTTAAAATACTATGTGTTAGAATTCTCATTATACATGAGATTTTATTGTAAATTACTTAGCTCTGGATTTGACAGAAAATTGTGAGGTGTTCATGGTATATATCTAACTTGTAAAGTGCTGGGAGAAATTTTTAAAAAAATGTAAAGAGCCATTTCCTCAGTCACAAAGGAATTATTTTTGCTAGATGTGTTTACACTTAAGGCTCTCATTGCGTTTATCATATCAGATCTATTTGTAATCAGCAAAGGATGCGTGCATGGGGCAGTCACAATTACACTTTGATTAAAAAGATTTATATATCGATAAGTCTATCTTGTGATGCTATACTATTTTATTATTATCCTACATATTACAATTGCTAAAATACAATTAAACCCTTGTTCTCATCTATTATTTAATATTGATGCATTTGGCAGATACGTAATGAAAGTGGCTAATATTTGAAGGATATTGTACTGTACATATTAAATTAGTCTTTCTTTATCTTTGTGAAATGCATCAATATGATATTCAATGACATCTCAATGATTAATAGAGAATTATACTTGAGTCAAGCCTTTTTGTAACCTAGAAATTAAAATGACTATTCAAATAACACCTCAAAATGATCAAATTAGCATTTTGTGATTGCATAATAATGGGATTGTAGTAGTTATAACAGCACCATGGCTGCCTCTAGAGTTAAGATCATGTCAACCCCTTGATAATAAAGCCTTTTCTGTGAGAGTCGACTTTAATAATTTCCATATTGATTCTTCTCATAAATCATTTGACGTTCAGCACTAAATTTTTGTTACTGTTGTAACTTAAAATTATTTTATTTTTATTCAGCTCATATTTAAGAAGTGAAACGAGTGTCCTGTTTTAATGATTCACCGTCTTGTCATTGAACTCCATGCCTTTTGCCTCAAATATAAGGATTTTTCATGTACTTCAGTAGTCTTTTTTTTTCCCTGCAAAGGTTTGTTAAAGCCACTGAAATATGTACAGTTTTTTCCCCGTACAAATATTCGCAATGCTTTTCTTGGGAATAATGCTTGCCTTATTTACATAATTAACTGAGTTGCTTAGGTCTCTTGGGCAAATGGTACATAATTGGGGAGAGAAGGGGACAGGGAAGAGTTTGGGGTCTAATTAAATATGCTAAAAAACTACTTAATTATGTATTTCCTCAAGAGATTAACTGCTGTGAAATCCTCTTTAAGATTAAACTAGCGTTAGATTTGAAAAAAGGATTTTGTTTTTGGTATGGGTTTAGAATTACATTGTAGTTAAGCTAGCATGTCTAGTGTCTTTAACGGTTTGTGCAAACTGGATTGTTGTTGGTTTTAGTGATTCTAAGCATAAGCATCTCTTAGCTTTTGTGCTAAATCGATGTGAATACTTTCAAATAATTTTTGGTTCTTGTAGCAGTTTAATAATTTCATTTTTACAAATTGTGGTTGATTAATAATTTCTTGAGAGGGAAAGGCTTGCTTTGTTGTAATTTTGACAGTTTTTTTTGATCAGATTAATTAGGTTTATATTATCTCGCTGGTAAATTGGTGATGCTATCTGTGACCTGTTTTAGATTCATTGGTTATTAGAGCTCTGTTTATGATCATTTGTAAAAAGTCGAAGATAGCTTGTAAGTGGTTTGAGGGAATGCTTAGTCAGACAAGGCAAAACCAGGCTCAGCCCTCTGCCTGAATTTTTCGGGCTTGTTGAAAACAGGACTTCAAATAGCCTGATTAACAGCACAAAATCTCTGTTCTAGAGATTGAGACAGTCAGAAAACTTCTTGTGCCAGTTCTGATTTCACTGTATGTGGGATATTTTGGGTGTGACAAGGAGTTGCTTTGAAGTGATGAAGGAGTGGGCTCAACTGATAGGCAGTAAACACTCAGCACTGATTTAAGTATCCCTGAATATGTGGATTTCTCCCCTGTCTTTCTACCTGTTTCAAATGAGGCCATGTTTTTGCAAGTATCTAACCCTTTCCGTTCCATGCCTTATCTCTTACTTGAGAAACTTTTGCTAGTATGTCATTACTATTGTGGTTAAACTGAGTTTGCAAATATTATCATCTTCCTGTCACTATAGTTACTAACAAAGAAATGGTACTGATTATTAGCTGTGATCTCTTGCTCAGGTTTTCCATCTCTCCTAACCTGTTTCTTTACCAATAATAGAAATGAGAGTTCCTTCCTTACACGGCTGATGCGACCATCATGTAAGATAAATACTAGGAGAGAGCACTGAGCATGAGAAGAGGCAGTGTAATTTACCTTGTAAGTAGACCTATTTTGTAGTAAGACCTGAGTTGAATTCTGACTCCACCACTTATGATGCGACCTCAGGCTAGTTTCTTAACCTCATGAAGCTCCAGTCCTCCTGTGTGGGTTGAGATGATGATAACGTGTCTTCCTTGTGAGAATCAATTGAGATTAGGTCTGTTTGCCAAGACATATAATACATAATAGGAAGGACTCAACAAATATCCCACTTTTGCTCTTCTCTCTGTGTAAAGGATGAGGGCCAGTGATGCTGTCTCTTCGTGTACTTCATTAGATTATTGACAGGATTGAGAGGAAATATGTTCTGAAAACCAGGAGTTTAGAAATAGTATGGCTAAGCAAGACATGCAACAGACTTGTTAAGGTGGTCTGTCTGAAGTCCAGGTAGTCCAGTGAAGTTTTGAGGTTTTGGCCTTTAACTCTAAATAGGGAGATTAAGACAAGTAATTACTTACTTTGGGGGTGGAGGGGAGTGACTTTTTTTTAAAAGCATCATGTGAGAAGATAGTTCTAGATTAGTAATTGCTTGGCAGTTTACTAAAATGTTAAATATTTATTTGACTTAACTAAATTCTGCTCTAACTATAAGGAGAATGTTTGCCTTAACAAGTGCTTAAAAAAGCAGAACCAGTTCTTGTTCATTTAGACAACTGTGACTTTGATTGTGTTAACTTACTATAAAGTAACCGTTTCTCTGTTAGAAACTGTTTTAACTGAAGCTGCAGAGAGCATGGGGGAAGGGATAATTCATGAGTGCTAATTGCTTGGCTGTTAATTTTCATAAGTGTTGATAGAAGCAGTTCCTTAAATTAAACTTTGTTTAAAATGTATCAGGGGAAATATTCCACAATGTCGAGCCTGAAGTGAAAATTAATATGAATGCTGTGGCAATTAACACATACTGGTTAATAGCTTTTAGCAGCATTTTGGGATGATAGTCCTTAAATACATTTTTGCATGCTGCTCTTGTTTCAGCATTGTTCCAGTCTATGTCTAGATAATTATGAACAAATGTTTTCTACAGTCATTGGCATTAAGTAGCTCTCTTCAAAGAAAGTCACCTAAAACTTTGTAGAAAAGCATGAAGTCACTGACAAATGTGGCAAGCTCAGAAAAGGTCAGCGAATTGAAATCATGTTTAAAAAAATTGCCTTGAGAGGAACATCTGAACTTGAATATTTGCTATTATAATGGAAATGGTCCCCTCTAATAAGTGAAGGTGCTTTAGTTCAGAGTCTCTTTCCAAAAAATTATAATCTGGACTTTTTGGCCGGTTATGTTTCTAGACGGCAGC